TTAATGTCAGTGGCTACAGATTTGTATCCGCAAAGAAAATCGCACAGTGAATGGTGTGATAGCCAACTGCGTGCAGGTAGGTAGGTGGTACCTACTGAGCTATACACGTCTGGACCAGATATGGGTAAGTGTAATAATATGATTATCAAATGCGAAAATAGTGACAATCAATCCAAGCAGACTTTCTGACGTATCTTTTCATCCCATCTTTATAGGATCTACATACGTCAGAGTTTAACTTTCAACAACGCTACAACATTAAACAAATAAAGTGAAGTATCGTCCAGCCTATATTGCTGCTTGACTTTAGTAGCTCATGCTGCGCAACAAGTTGTATTGGTTCGCTTCTATATGCTTTAGAAACATTCGTCTGTCAGCTCATCACATTCCTGAGAAAGAGATGTCACAGGGCGAATTTACCATATGTAGTATTATAATCTCGAGCTTTGCTTTGCAATAGCGATATTATAAATATACCTATTCGCCAAGCTTTGTTCAAAATTAAAAAGTTTATTTTATGTCTCGATATGTTTTTTTTGTTTACCGGAGTTGAATCAATGCAATTATTTACAGATCATGTCTGATCTGTAGCCCTAAAGAGAGCGAGCTAAACACCGTGAAACTAAACTTTTTAATTTGAAAATATTGCATCTAATCTTTACCACAAGGCTAATACACGCACAATTGTGCATGCAAATCGACTTATCTACTGTAATATCGCCCTTCAACAGTACTGAGCGTCATCATCTTAGCTTGTTGCTCCTTGATACTGTCCTAGTCTTGATATCTGCTGCCTTACGAACAAACGTAAGCATCGTGGTTTTAAGTGCCTTCGTCAGCAGATCCGCCAGCAGACACTTCGTGCCGATGCATTCGATGTTCAAAATTACTTCGTGACATTTCTCGCGGATGAAGTAGTGCATAATGATCACGTGCTTCGTCCGAGCATGGTTTTTGACGTTGTTGGCTGAAGCGACCGCTCCTCAGTTATATATACAAACTTGTGTGCTTCACACTTGCGACAGACGTTCGATTCCAGAACTTATGGACATGTTTGCAAGCGCCAGTGGTATTTAAGTCGAAGTTTCAGCAAGCGGTTGCACTCAGCTTGGCGGAGGCGAATTGTATGACTCTCAGACTTTGCAATCAAGAAGTTCTTTGGTCGTATGCGATGCTTAATAGCATGAGTCAAGATTCGGTAATCTGTCCTAATCAGTATCTGAATATGCCTTACCCGCAATGCTGCAACCGCCTTGACAGAGGATATCGATCTGGCGTGTAGTCATAGCGTAGTACAAGGATAGCTGCACCCCAATGTTGCAGTCAATAGTATTCCAATGAGCGTCACAGCTGCATTAGCCCGTTTGTAGCATCAGATCGAGTACATGTCTTGGTGTGATGCAGGTTTCGAATCAGCTTCGAATGTATCTCCAAACAACCTTTTTTATTGTATGCGAATGCGTTGTCGACAACCTTAATCTCAATGCGCACTGGTTATCCATATTCCTGACTTATTGTCGGTCTAATTGCTTAACACGTCGTCCATACAAAGTTTGCTGGGTTATAAGAGTTTAAGTGACCAGTACGCCCAAAATGAACTTCACCTTACCCAGCTTCTTCATTCATTTAACCCCTTGAGCTCCTCCTTGATCTAATTGATGTTCTTTCTTGTTTTTTGCGACAATCATTTCACTCATATACAATCCAGCTTAAATTAATCTCTATGGATTGCTGGACATAAACGCATTGCCCTGCGGAGCCCTTGAGGCAAGATTTTAAGAGAAACGCGATGTCTTAGGTTACTTTATTTCAAACACTTGTTACTTGTTTCCGCCTTGGTCAGTTGATGACACCGAGCGAAACTACTTTGACAGCACACATTAAGAAAAGCAGAACTAACATTGACCTAAAGTTGATGCAAAGCCGAGCTCCAGTTGATGGCAGGAAGCGCGCTGAGCTAATTGGCCCTGTATCTTGTTTCATTGGATGAAGAGGAAATGTGCTGTGTCCACGCGGAACGTTTTCTTCGTAGCCCCTTTTCTGTCCATCTTCTCGAATCCAATCAGCGTGATGCTTTTGCATTTACTACAATCAATGAGATCTAATCCTAATTGGTGTCAAAATGCTGAGAGGTACCGCCAAATGGCGTGACTAGCCAAATGGCTCTTCACTGTATGAAGTCCCACAACCAGCCCGCTACCTGAGTCCCAATTTTCCGCCAAGCTACCGCTCCTTTCTATCTTTAAGTCGATGAGTCGATGCGCCATCGTCACCCGGTTGTGTAATGTCGAGCGTTGTAAAAATGACATAGCATTCTACATGCCTCCATGGCGCTCGTAGTAGACCACATCTGGTCTGACAATTCAACGGCTTGCCCAAGGAATCACAATGCCTTGTTGTTATGCACAAACCACGTCTCGATAACATTGCTCTTATTCTTGATAGTAAATTTGGTGGCAAAATTAGATATGTCTGTGGTCTTAGCAAGTTTTGTTTTCGCTTATACTCGCCATTCGTTCAAAGATTCTTCCTAGCCAGAGCCATCCTCATAATGAGCTTCCAGTGGCAGTATTTACCAAGACTTTAGTGCGCTCGTTTTTCATCGTGGGCACGGACGCTGGAGATAAAAGCTTGGTTGCAGCTATCACCCTTTTCTACCGTTGTTCTAACCCGAGGTAAAAACAGTCTGATGTGCATAATTCTTTGCCCCACCGTTGCCGCAGCTATGCCAATTATTATGAAATCCGATCTAGTCTGTATACCATAAGAAACATCTAGGGTGTAGCCTATGGCTTGGAGCCCCATCGTGGACTGCTTAAACCATGTATCAAAAAGTGGAGCCACCACACCTTTACCAGTAAGCCAATCTGATTAACCCAACGAAATCACAATTATTATGAAGAAGACTAGTGTGCATTTACATGGGTCATTCAGCTCTCCTCGAACAAAAACATTAGTCACTCGAAAAAATCACTGGCTCGCTCCAGTCGGAATCTGACCTTAGACGGTGACGAGCAAATTGCACAGAAAACCAGCCTAACCATGACTACGGAAGGGCAATTCTCACATAAAGATCTAAGGTAGAATCTGATTTTAAATGAACAGAAAATCCATGGTCAGCATTCAAGAACAAAAAAAAATATTCGCGCGAAATATCACAGTATACAACTTTGATCAGGTCAGATGAGAATGCTGTATGTTTTAGAGGGGGACAAGGCAGCCATCGGAAAGATGGCGCTTCAAGCGATGACAGTATTGATTAGGGCAAGTGCTAGTCGAGTTTACTCACATATAATGAAACTCACCGAAAAACGATTCAGCGAAGATGATGCGGTACTTACAGTGGGCAATAAACGACCAGCAGGATGGATTATCAAAAGCGGTACTACATTCAACATGACCCCGCAATAAAAGAACTTGTTCGACAACAAAATTTTGCGACAAGCATCAAAGAAACAATTACACAGCTCAAAATGTTAATCGTCAAAGCAGTTAAACAATGAACGATCAACCGGACTGGGTGATTCGATAATTTGCATGATTGATGCTTTTTGTGTACAAGGCCACGAAAGAACTTTACTGCACGTGGGCGAGCTTGTGGAACCCTGAGGAATTACCGCGTTCATCGTTTGGCATCTGAACCAAAGAACGTATTTCTACACATGCAGTTCTTGCTGTCTTTAAGACGAAGCTCCGTCCACGGAATCTCGTCGTGCCAAAACGACAAGAATCTAAATTGCACGTACTACTGGAGATGCAATAACATACGCTTCCGGTGGCAGTTTATGCCATGGGTGAGCCTATTGATGGCCTCAGATTTACAAGTAGAAAGCTACACCTTTTTAGACCTGTTATCATCGCTGTTTGGATTCTTTTTACCAGCTCAGCAAGTTTGCAGGGCCCACCCGAAGGTACGGAGGAACATATAGCGGGGTTGATTACGAATCACATATATCGTTATCATGGATCGCCCGAGCCATCATTTCAAATTGAAACCACGCTTGATTGCTGCGTTTTTAGAAAATGCTGTTTCAGTAAATGAGAATAAGGGTTTTGATGTCCACAGCTGCCAATCCACAGGCGATCAGAGTGTCGATTGTGTGAATAAACATTGCGCTGTTAATGCGTTAAGACACCATTTATGGTACTAGGCTCATGCCGATAATTGGGGTTGCGCACAATGTGGCTCATGCACGAAAATGTTCACCCTCTTTTTTGACGAACGGGTTATGGAATACCGGCACTTTAAACAGAGAAGAGTATAAAAAAAACAACCGACGCGGATCGAAATCTTCAGAAAATTTGCTGTCCGATTTCGAGAACATCAGTCTGAACACAATAAACCGGACCCAAGATGAAGTAATAGGTAGAAAGCGCCAAAGATTGGTGTAAAATGATAGTATGGGTGTTCTTGGAGGCATAAGTTATATCTTTTTTGGAATAAATAAGTTGTCAGATTCAAGCCCCGCTTTATTGGTCCTTTAACGGATCTTATACTGCCGTAGCACTGTGCACACTGTCGAACTATCTGAGTCCCCCATCGCCGCTACCCAAATTTATTTTTACCTATAGCGCCTCGGAACATGTTCAGAATCTCATGGTGAAAACGGTTGGAGAGGGGAGACGTCAAATCAAAATCAGAAGCAGAAACCATCTGTGAATGCAAAATGTAACGGGTACACCTTGTACGTCATATTACTCTATCTGTTTTTGGTGAAGGTCAAATCTACCATGGTCAAGTAACTAATATCATCGAAGTAATGTTACTCAAAGCGGTGATGTCCGCGAGACACGAGGGGTGCTCGCTATTAATCGGAATATAGTTTTATGTATGGTGAAAAACATTCATATGCTATCTCTGTTACATAACCCTAAGATGACAACCACATAGTGGTGATTGTTGCAGTTGCAGTTGATGTTGACGTTGATGTTGCAACATCAATTACAAGCATATGCATGTAACTTTTAGACTGGATGTAACTGGATTGATGAAATTTAATATAATAACTTTTTTTCTGCATGAACCACATCTGAACTAAAGTGTCAGGTTATGAGCCCAAGGCGCAATATTGAAGTCAACATGAAGAAATCAACCGACTTATTCGGCAATGATAACTATTTTCATTGGTCGTTCAATATGGAAATGGAGCTTGCGCGGAAAATGCTACGGGATCACGTGATGTAAATGAAGTCGGAAGCTGAGATGAAGCTGGAATGGCGTACAAATGACATGAAAACATTCGCCATTATTGCACAAGGGGTCCAGCTAGAACACAAATCGAGTGACTTTGACAAGACGTTTACATGAGTTCACTATGGAAGATGGAGCAAGCATGGCTTCTCACTTCGATAATTTCAGCGAACTGGTAGTTGCGATGGAGGGTGTCGGGGATGGTATGAGCACTGATAGGCAGCTTTTGATCTTGCTAAGTAGTCTGCCGAGGAGTTATGCGATGATTGTTTCTATCATTGAGAACCTTAAGGAAATTCAACTTGACGAAGTGAATAAAAAGCTCTTGAAAGAGCACGAAGAAATCGAAAATGCAGAAAATCGAAAGAAAGCGCATTCAAGGTGCAATTCCGTGGCCATGGTGGTCAAAAGAATAAACAAGGTGGCCGTGGTCGCCAAGATCAGCATATTATCAAGACATGAGACAAGGTAACCGTTGGCTGCCACTATCAGCTCGAGGTTTCACCGGGCGTTGCCATTGCTGCAACAAGATTGGTCATAAGAAAGTGAGCTGTCCATCAAGTGCACACAGTAGTGAGGCACTGTTACGGCAAATATGGATAAAAAATCAGATTGGTTGCTTGATAGTGGTGCATCGTCGCACATGAGCCCTGAGCAAAAGGATTTCCATACTCATAGAGAGTTGAAAGAGATCATTGGTGTTACAATTGCTGATAGTAAATCACCCCATGCGCTTGGTATGGGTGATATTAACATGCGATGCCCTCAAGGTCGCATAATGAAACTAGTAGACGCTCTTTACATTCTTGGATTGGATCGTCGACTACTCTCAGTTGCAAAACTTACCCAGAAGGGCCTCACGGTGAGTTTTGGTATGAAAGAGTGTACAATCTCTCGAGGAGAAGAATTGATAGCGACCGTCTACAAGCAAATAATGTGTATCGTGTGAAGAATCAAGCACAGACTGTGAGTGTGATTGACCATAAAAAAGACCATGTGATTGGAGGTTATGGCATGCGAGATTAGGACACACGCATCATGACAATTTGAAGCGTGTAGTTGTTGCGAGTGATGGTATCCCTGGAGGACTCCAGCGTGATCAAGATTTCTGTGGTAGATGCACGCTTGGAAAGAATTCTGTCACACCATTCCCAAAGCAAATAAACCGTGGTATGATAAAAACCACACGAGTTCTACAACTGGTGCACACAGATCTCATGGGACACATGAAAGACCGTCTACCGGTAGAGCAAAGTATGTGCTACTCTTCACAGCTGACTATTCGCGCTATATATGTGCATACTTCTTGAAGAGTAAGACGGAATTGGCAAATTGTTTCGTGGGTACAAAGCGAAGATGGATGGGAAAAATAGGTGTTTGAATCAAAAGCGTTCGGCCAGACAATAGGACTGAATTCGTCGACAATAAGTTTGGCAATATTTGTGTTGATTGGGGTATCATCCACCAACGCTCTGCACCATATAGCCCTTGACAAAATGGGCCTGCAGAAAAAAAAACCGAACCCAGATGGCGATGGCAAGAAGTATGATGCTGTCCAAGGTTACTGAAACTCGATGGTGGGCTGATGCAGTCAATACTGCTGTGTACCTGTTGAATCGGATGACCAGCACCGTGAACACTGATATGACACCATACGAGGTTTGTTTTGCCTCTCGTTCAGACCTCGATCATATTCTTGTCTTTGGTTCTTGGGGGGGGTACGCACATTATGACAAGTCTCAACGAACCAAACTCGAGGTGACATCATTTCGCTGCATGTTGCTGGGGTACATGGAACATAGCAAAATTTACCGTGTGTTAAATCTCGATACTGGAATAGTAAAAACAAGCCTTTCAGTTGCTCTTGATAAACGCGGAGTATCCAGCATCGATCGTGGGGATAATACGGATAAGCCTAATAGGTATCTTCAGACTCCAATCGATGATGATGAAAATATGGCACCTTGTGTTTCACAGCCAACACGAAACAATGATGTGATCATGGATGACGACTTAGTTGATAACGATGAGAGAAAGGCTTTGGCGGTTGATAACCATATTCCTACATTAAGTATTCAGCATGCGAGTCCACCACAAACTGAAATCACACATGACAACCACTTACTCAGTGGGAGGTATGCAATTGTATTCCATCCTCCAATCCATCGTCGCCACCTTAATCATAGTCAGCATCACGTGCTGCGTGATGTGCCTCACACTCAACAACGCCTCCAGATTGAGTCCGATGCCACTCCAGAAAGATGCATAGTTGTGTTCGAGCCAGTGGAGGAAGACCGTCAGCGCGATGACTCTGATCTTATGGATGTGCGACCACCAAAGCCTTCACATAAATAATGATGGTGGTATGGTAGCATTCATGACCGATGTGTCAACATCATTTAGCGACGCAACCAGTGGATAAAGCAAAAATCATTGGGAGCAAGCTATCCAGAATTGGATTGACTCATTAGTTCGCAACAACACGTGGGATGTTGTAGACTTCAAATCTGGTATTGAATAAAGTGGGCTTTTGCGATAAAGAAGAACGAACAGGGTGAGGTCATTCGATACAAGGCGGAATTCGTTGCACAGGAATTTTGTCAAAGATTGGTATACATTTCTTTGAAACCTACGCACCAGTGGCAAACTTGAACTCCATCCGCATAGTATTCTCAATATGCTATTACAAGGTCTATCGATTTTTCAATTTGACTTCGATACTGCTTTTCTTTTATGGAATGCTCGATGAGTTGGTATACATGAGAGTGCCTGAGGGATTCAACCATGACAAAGGCAAATTACTGAAACTGAATTGTCCCCTTTATGGCCTCAAGCAAGCGGCTCATGTGTGCAACAAGACGATCAACGACGTCCTACTGAAAATTGAGCTCAAACCTTCAGCGATTGATTCATGCATCTATGTTCGAAATCGACCTAAGTCTGTAATTAACATCTGCTTATACGTTGATGAAATGCAAATAGCGGTCAAAACCATTGAAGAAGTGGATTAAATCAAATCAAAAATCACTCAACGATTTTGTATCAAAGATTTGGGTCTACGGAAATAAATCATGCAATAAACAAGAAGACGCTAACCATATCACAGAGCCACTACATCGAGGAAGTAGCCAAGCGTTTCAATCAATCAAATGCACGACCAACCCAGAACCCTTGTGATAGTGGAATGGAGTTAAGTCGAGATGACTCTCCAAAGACAACAGATGATAGAGAAGTAATGGAGAGACGACCATTTTGTCCATTGATGGGTACATTGCAATGGGTACTAAACCAGATGTATGCTATGCTGTATCTTAACTCAGTCGTTTTCTGGATTGCGCTGGCCAGGCACATTGGAAGGCTGCAGTTCGTATACTGCGGTTTTTGTATACAACTCGATCTATCGTATCGACTTTCAGTGGGAGGTGTATAGAAACAATCTCTGGTTGCGTTTAGTGATGCAGACTGGAGAAGCAATGTAGATGATTGACGATCAGTATCTGGTGTTTTGGTGATGCTTTATGGTGGACTGGTTAGCTACAAAGCAAAATATCGGAAGACGGTTGCACTGAGCTCAGCTGAAGCAGAATACATGGCTTTAAGCCTATGCACACAGGAAGTCGTTTGTGCTCGACTGTTAATGAAAGAACTTGGTTACAAACAGTCAAGTCCAACGGTGATCTATGAAGATAATCAGCGAGCCATTGTCTTAGTGCACAATGTTGGTTACAATGCACGTTCAAAGCATATTGATATCCGCCAGCATTTTGTTCGTGAGCGCGTCTCAAATGGTGAAATTGAGATCAAGTACATCCTAACAATCCATCAACTTGCTGACATGATGACGAAGGCACTGGCGTTTCACTGAGCTACGTGTCTCCCGTGGTATCATCTAGTCCTTATCTGATACTAAGTGAAGCGTGAGTGGGAGTGTTACATAACACGCTAGTCACTATGATGACAATCGCATGGTAGTGGTGGTTCCTGCAGTTGCGGTTGATGTTGATGTTGATGTTGCAACATCAACTACAAGCATATGCATGTAACTTTGAGACTGGATGTAATTGGATTGGTGAACCAGGATCTAACAGTTTAGTATATTCACTTTTAATTTCTGCTTGAACCCACACCTGAACTAAAGTGTCAATCTCCTTGAGCCAGCCTATGTTTGAGCAGCTGTTAAACTTTTGGGCCCCGCTTGCTAGAGCATCCGGTAATCCATCTTTTGCGTATTTGCGTACTGTCGAGACAAAGTTTCAAATAGACTTAAATTATTCCACAACCTCGTTGCACTCTCTATTACTTGCCATCAGCCTGACTGAGTTGACGCTGATTGTAAGCATAAGGCACACTTGTATTCATCGGGTCAACAAGACATGCTAAAATAGTCCTTGCTTTTCTCTTATTGGTCTTAAGATGATAGCAAAATTCGCAGCCGATAGAGAAGAGATGAGACGATCTGAAGTTTGTAACAGCTCGCCTGCAAGCTTTACCAGCTGCGAAAACGCAAAACATCTCCAAGAAAGTACCTAGAATAAAACTCCAGCAGAGATCTAACGAGCGAGACCACAGGTAAGAGGGGCTGTAGCTGCGAGGACAGAAACCTACGCGATCAAATGGTTAAGCTGACTGTGAACACGGCCTTGATTTATACTGAGCAACAAGCAGAAGGTAGGATGCCGTATGGGAGGCAAACCTACCGAGTGGCCTTTGGCTAAAGAGGCATTCTAAGCATGTCCTTAAACCATCTAACCATTCTCTTCGCATGCGATCGTGACTAAAAATCTATTTGCAAAAAAGATGAAAAATGATTAGTCGCTTGTTCAGCCGAGTTGTCGGCTAACTCCGTTTTATAAAATCCGTAACAGCTACCGTGTCTTGAACGAGTTTCTATACGGGTACCCTCGCAAATTTAGCATCTGCGGATACATGACGCAACTCAGCGGCTAAGCAATTATTCACTTTATTGTCAGTTTCGCTGATACACATTGCCTTTGTCGCGCCCATATAGCCTCTTATTTCTGGAAACCTTGGGTTTCCAAATTTGTTACCACATTTTATAATGGTTTGATGTTTGCAAGAGATTTCCTCGCAAACATGGACGCCTTTTGTGTCCATCTTTCTCGGTAAAATTTATCGAACGGTCTGACCCAATCACACCACCAAATATCAGATCCACTGCGGAGAAATGCCGGGATCCAGTTCAACGCTTTGCATCCATTAGGGATCAAATGAAGTCGGTCATTCCTCGTGAGGGTCGAGAACAATGAAACCCAGCCCTGAAGAATGCGACGTTTTTCACCAGAGAGTCATGTTTCTTGGTCTTTGATCACAGCATACCGAGACCCGATAGAGTCAGGGCCGTCGGAAACTATGCGAGTCGCACTATTGCTGAGTACAAAGATTACAAGCATGCCAAAGTGCGAATCGATGTGTCTTGCGACGGGACACTTGTTAAGGTGTCAGAAGCTCTTTTGTATGTTAAAGACGCGTGAAACACAACTTGTATCAGATCTAAATTTGATATACGTTACGTCGTGTGTGCGACCTAGCTTTAAATTTGAGCCATGGATCAACTGAGTTCGAAGAGTGTCACTTTAGGTACAAAACTTCGACAGCTGTGGTGCAAGACAAAGTGTCGTTGAAATTGTAAGCGACAATATTGCAAAGAGTCTTGAACAGATTTTGGAAGTTGGGGAAGCAATGCGAGCAGGATGTTTTTGAAATTATGTTTCCTTGGATGGTCGATAGAACAGCACCGTCTAGTGATACTATGCTTACTATTTTGAAGATAAATCTGCCGTAGTCAACGGAATATAGGATGTATACAGCCGTGTTAAATGCTTAAAAGATATACCAGACTGAATGTATACAATATAGCTGTTCGGCAATGTAGACAAATGTGTCTCTGTTGCCAGGGATGGTTCGCGGTAAGGTTTCGCAAATCTGAAGGCGATTTTGAATATATCAGTGCCACTATTTTAAAGCTCAAAAGAATGTACGAAATTGAGAAAAAGAAAAAAACGAATATAATCAAGAGGCTCTCGTCGAAGCTATTTCTGTGCAGAGTAAATGTCAACCCTGCAAATTCGATGCACATGATGCTTGTGTGTCACCGTGGATGTGTAACAGATTTTTACTTTACAATACTCGCTTCGTGATTCTTATTTGCCTCGGTACATTCGCCATACGTTGAAGCTATCTGCCAAGTATAGCCACAAGAATCAACAGGCTACACACGATATCCGCCTAGATGTAACGATATCCATCTAGATGTAATATTGTGTTTAAAGTGATGGTGTGGTTCGACGCGCACTGTTCTTGTGCACTTTAGGAAACGCGACAAATGCTTCTGTATTCCTAATTACAGCGCCCATCAACTCACCATCCGCAAGAAGCGTTGCTTGAGTAAGAAACCGCTTGTTTGTCGGAACACCCAAATAATCAAGAATTTTGGTTGCTGCTATCGGAACGACAGGCTGCAACAAGGTAGCTGTGACATCAAACACATAGTCTTAAATTCAAGCATCTAAAGCATATAAAAGCTAGCAGCTTACCGCTTATGCGCGCTGCATCCATGGATAGATACAGCACAGTATCTAAGCGCTCTTTTGTAGCATTGTATTCATCGGATCTCAAGTGTCTAATCTCCTTTAGAGTTTTTGATAAAATCCAAGGTTCCATAACGGTAAAATACCTGCAATATACATTCAGCAATAAGTGTTTGTTTGATGTGTAATCTTGCGTGTTTATCGGAGGAATGGTAAAGCTTACCGGTTGACGTCATGAAGAAAAAAAACTATCGTTTCCAAGCCACGTGCAAACTGTACAAGTATAAAGCGTCAGAAAGAAAGTTTGATTCCTCAGCAACCGAAATCGAAAATTTACATCAGGCGCATCAAAATACTTTTTGACCTCAGAGGCAAGAGCTTGTCCCTTTACAACCAGCTCCTTCTCGTCGATCGTGAGGAGATCAAATTGAGGGCGTTTCGGTACCTTGCCACTCATAAGTACCGATTTGCTGGTGCAGCGAGAGACCAGATTGCCGAGTGTATCAGCAAGTTCACTGTTCACACGATCTTCGAGCGTTTCAGTGTTAAAATCACTGTCATTTGTCAGCACGCTCTCTCGCAATAAAAAAAAACGCACAAAATCAGAACCATACTTCGACAGCACCTCGTTTGGGTCTATCACGTTGCCTCGACTTTTGGACATTTTTACGTTTCCTACAGTCCAATGAGCGTGTGCCACCACCTTTTTTGGGAGCGGAAGACCAGCTGCCATGAGAAAAGCGGGCCAGTAAATCGCGTGAAACTTGAGAATGTCTTTACCCACGATATGATAAGCAGCAGGCCATGAATGTGTAGTATCCCCTGGATAGCCAGCACTGGTCAGGTAGTTTGTCAATGCGTCCAACCACACATACACACAATGCTTGTTGTCATCTGATCAAGCATTTCGCAGTCTGTTAGACATCTCTAGTCAAAACTCACCATCACTCAATCTTACCCGGCACTTGTATCGCCCAGCGAATCTTCTCACTTAGTCTTGACACTGACAAATCTTTTAGACCTCCAGTCACAGCTGCACGCACTTCGTTGTACCTTGTTTTCGGTACAATCGCGTCCGGATTGGCGTCTAGCCACTCGAGCAATCGGTTTTGAAATTTTGAAAGTCTAAACTTGTAGTTTTGTTCGCGCAACATTTCAACGGGATGTCCACTTTCCTTGGATACTTTAATCATATTTCCATCTGGTCCCGCTTTGTCCTCCACCTGTGTCTCGGTAACGAAACTCTCGTCTGACTTGCAGTACCACGACTCGTGGTCACCTAGATAAATATACCCATTGGCGTAAATGGTCCTCCAAAATGCATTTACGGCTTCGTTATGGTCCTGATCGCTGGTCCGGATAAACCGCGAATAATCTACATTGGCCTTTTGGAAAATCTCAATGAAGCGAGACGACACCTCGTCACAAAAAGCCTGATATTCCTGTGTTCCACTTTTTTCGACTGCCTCCTGTACTTTGAGACCATGCTCATCCGTACCTGTGGTGAATAACACGTCACATCCCTTAATTTTGTGCCAGCGAGACAGCGCATCTGCTAGGACGGCCGAATGCACGTGGCCGATGTGTGGAGCTGCGTTTACATAAAATATGGGCGTGCTGATATACGTCTGCGGTGGCTTTATAGCTGCAGTAGCGAAAAACGAGATCCTTGATGGTAAACAGCTTTGCGTACGAGTAGCATTGCGCAACATGTCAGGCACAAAAAAGTTTTTTTTACAGTATATTTGATTTTGTGAATTGACTTTTTTGTTTTGCATTATGATTTTCAAAGCTCCTGTAATTTAGGTAACAGGCTCAATGCTTCTCTCCTTGACGACATAAACTTGTCTGGAAACTACTTCCTTCTCTCATACAATTCGAATGATAAATGCAGCATTGGGCTCAAAAGGAAGGTGTTCTTCCATTTTGCTCTGACCGTCAGTTAAATGGTCCACGATGTTTAATTTTTTTGTTTTGGAATGATCGTTGATTTTATTTGCTTGCAAATGAAGCGAGGTTTTTGGCCAATGCTAGCGCTCTCTCAAAGGTTATGCGATGTATTCACCACAAAAAGATTAATCCTTAAACGATTCAACTCACACACTGTTTCATTTTAGGATTAGACTCACCGCAGCAAAAAATAAAACAATGGTCTGATTTAAGATCCTTCTCTTAAAGTTGATGCTCGACGACTGCGATGCCCTGTGGCATGATGGTGTCTGCACGGCAATTTATTTATGTCATCTTGATCCACATAATTATGCGTTATATAAATTGTCTAGTTGAATGTTATGCGTTATTTAGCTGGCCTAGAGTCCTCTGGACAGTAGTATCTCCACCCTCACCACATTCGGTGTCGAGTAACACGACGGAAATATGGGCAGGCAAGATGGACTACAACCTATGGACAGGCTTGGTCGAGTATGACAGAGCTCTAGATTGTGATATAACTGACTAGCTATACCTTTATAAAGCCATTAACTGTAGATTAAAAAGTCTCTGACTCACATATTCTTCGCGCACATAAATCCATTCACGTATTTGAATGTGAGAGGAACTGCACTAATTCATACACATACAACGGATTATCGTGCACTCTGAACAGAAGCGGCTTCGTCTGGGTCCATTAGCTCGGCAGAAGCGTAATCGACATTTATTTTTCTAGAAAAAACAAAAAAAAATAATTATTTTTTTGTATAGTGACATATATACACATGTCTACATTATTGTTATGTCAACATCAGTGTAAGTGAGCAAAAAAGAAGGTGACAATTGAAATTGTGGAAGTGACCCATGCAAAACTAGCAAATAGTCTCTAACATGAAAATAATTTGCCATTCAACCGGAAAAATTACGCTTCATTATGGGTTTTGCAGTAATGACCCACATATTTGCAAACATCGCATCTACGAACCAGTTAAGTGTATGCGCCATATCTGCTTTCAGCAATTAGGAGAATCGGGGGACGGTGGGGCTGTCAATCAATTGATCGTGGGTTCAAATCCCTCCGGTCAAAGGTAATGAGGTTCGGATAATTTGCACTCATTTAGGGCTCCACAGTCTGTCTTCCCCAGACATGCCGTCCCCTCACTGTTACAGCCAAGTTAGTTAGGCATTCTTCATCTCATGAATGGTTCCGCGAGATGTATACATACATGTATGGTATATTTTTCTATTTCTCAAATATGGTATATTGTTTTGATTTTTCTGTTTATCCGGTAGATTTTCTTAATCCTCCCAATCATTAGCTCAGTAAATTCAAGAGTGACATATATTATTTAGACTCATATTAAATTCGCAGAGTACCGTTTCAAATAATGAACAATCTATATTATTTCATGTTCGGCATGCAGCCCACCTCTACGAAATCCCCTCGTATGAATACTCCGGTAGGCATACATATACAAAATTACCCGAAAGTGCCATGTGATCTTCATAAAGTTGTACGGTGTCGATTCACAACACTTATATCAAGTGTGTTGTAAGTATATAAGGTAAAAACTATATTTGTGACCCACCACTAAGATGAGGACTTCACTTTAGCTCACACTTCTTCAAATCTTTCGAGCACTGTACGCGCAAGTTAATTCTCACTAGAGACCGACCGCTCTAGGAGTCAAACTCCAGCTTTTGCACGTCGCTGCCCCTCACAGCATACCCACACCGAAGGTCTGTCCTGTGCACCTAATCAAATGGATCAGCTAGCTTCCACAAACTGTGGAGTTCTCGCGACTAAAGATTTGAGACTAATTTCTGGATAAGATGTCGATATTATCTCCAATGAAATCAGTCGCAGTTTCTCTAGAGTCCTGATGATAAACTATCACTCATAACCGACTTCCACTGCTTGGTTTATCGCCAAGGAGAAGGCGCTATCTAAAGAAGGAACTTATTTCAAACTCCTATTCAAAAGCAAAATGTGTTACGACATCCGCCGTGAAGGCAACGACAATACCCAGGTCACACCAGCGAACTAAACCAGGTTCAATATGGTCAGCTTGCTCATCATCCAGCGCAAGTTCTTCGTCGAGTACTGCTAAATCATGACGCTGTGTTAACGATCTCAATCCGCCAATAATTTCTTGCCACACCAAGCCGAAGCACTTTGCGCCTTCGGTGCAGACAATCCACTCACACCAAAAGTAAATGGGAGTTCAAAATCTGCTTCGCTTTCGCTTCATTATCTCAAAAGATATCACTTCTCAGGCGTACCGCCTGCGCTTAGATCAATATCGATTTTTCATTACCTCCATGGAATAGAATATGTTGGGTACTACAAGCTGATTTTATATGTTTACCGTAATCGATTCGCGCACTGGCGGTAAAAATGACCGTCGTAGGGCTTTACAAGCATACTTTAGCGAAGTGGACATATAACTAAAATGTACTTCGGTACTTGACTTTGCAATGCACAAAGCATTGTGGGAGAACCTTGTCACCTTTATCTTAATGACAGACCCAACATTATGAGATAGCTGTACTTCTACTGACCAACTTGAGAACTTGCAATAGTCGAACGTCGCTCGAACGTCGCTCGCAAGTGGAGCTTAACTGCGACGAGTGATTTTTCCCCTTTTCTTTCCTAAAGAAGATGAATACTGAGGTTGAAGGAAGTCGTAACCAACCGCAGCACTGAAACAAGTTCTCCATAGTGATTCTCATGTTCTTGCTAGTTTTGCGACTGAGGGTTGACCTTTCTCTCAACTCGATACTAGGAACAGCCCTAGTGTACCCATCGACTCACCAACGATCCATCTGGAAGTGGTCTTTCTCGCGAAACAGGGCCAGCTGACGTCGAACCTCCCATGGCTTTTGTAGGCTATCTTAGTCAAAGCGGCATGTCGGCTTTCTCCGTGTGTTTTGACGCAATTTCGAATTCAAATTGAGTCCGATTTTGGACACGCTCTCGGTACTTTGCCATCGCACTGCGTAGCTCGAGGAGCCCCAGCGGGCTAGCTCTGACGCATTCGACAGTGCAAGCATTGTTAATTTCATAAAATTGTTTAGCAAAGATGGCTGATCTACTTGCAATCAGCTATAGTGTGTCTGTGCGTATACAACCATCGTTTCCTCGTCAAATTGTTTTCTCAGTGGCTTGCCGGTACCAATCAAATTAGATAGAGATCCACACACTATAAAGAAGTTCCGGTGGAATTTCTATCTGGACTATACATGTCAGTCGCTAACTATCTCCAGAAGTATTGTTACACAAAATACAATAAGCATTGGTGAAGAGGAAAGATCTTTTTCGAGAAATTACCACGTTGTTGGAGCGAGAGGCTTTAACTTATTGAAATTGTGTATCAAAACATGCATGCTGCTTGTCTCTACACGCGAAACACCATTTTCCATAAATTATTTAGTGAACCCCCCGGGTACCCATGTCTCCGCAAAAAACTGGCCCAGGATAAAGTAGAGACTGTCTATATCAGTCAGTAAAAACTTCGTAGCAAAATTGGTACTATTACCTCGGTAACGTTGAGCGTCATATACACAGAGCGCGGTGCTTTGACTGAGAGTAAGGAGAAACTAAAGCAACGCGCAAATGTCCAGACATGGTATCGCACACGAAGATTTTGAGGGGCAAATGATTATCATAAACGTAGTAAGCGTACCTTAACATACAGTGTTAGCTAACTGTAAGACTAAGTTGCGAATACTTTACATCGGACCATTCGTGGTTTAGCACATAGGATATAAGTAAGAATCTGTACATCCAAAGAGCATTTTGTGTATAACGTATGTCTACTATAATTATATCGCGATTCCACCTTAACGAGCCCTTCACATGTAATGCGCTCGGTTGAAGATGAAGCAGCATCACTATGTTGCGCGATTCTCTTCCCCTCAGCAGTGATAAAAACCCGCAAAAGTGTCATTGCTTCACAAGAATTGACAGGCTGGATAAGGTGCCGCCACATACAGGAACGATATCATCCGTTGGTATGTTTTATGCCGACATTTGTGTTTGTCCAAGTATACATGTTAGACCGTCAATACATAGCCCTAAGCAGGCATTCATATTTCCCCTATCTGGTGGTCACCAAAAAGGGTACGTACAGTATAATGCACTTAAGCTCTCATCATGAAGCACCACGACTCGATAAAAGGCATGTGAGTTATACAATTAGTCTTGCCAGAAGGAATAGCTGTGCTTGCGTGCGACCAGAAAGTAAAATGCTGGGGTGCGCAGAAGAGGGGCTGTGAGCAAGACCATCATGCTTGCTTTGATTTTGCTCTTCCAAATACAGATCAGTCATTTAATGTCGACTGTGACCGTTCCTTATTTTGCTAAAAAGGTACTCCAAGCAAATTTCACTGGGCATGATCACGTAATCGCGTATGAATGTCGCTAGTTTAAAGCAGTAGAGATTAAATGCATTGTTTGAGATAATAAATCATCTGAAATGGAGTATGCCTCGCTGAGTTCAGAGTGCACCAGTTTGGATCCGAGACGTTGTGACTCATGTAGATCTCACATTGTTGCGCACAGCAACGTCGCGTCTCATGTCATTCGTCTTTGTAGATCATTTTTTTCGAGGTGAAGCCTAGGCAGAGTCAACAAAATGTTGTAGCGGCTGCGAATAGTTTCGACAATAATATATTGTCACCTATCACAATACTAGCACAGCCAGCTGATGATGTGTTACGTATAGCGTGTAGGTCATACGCACCATGTGTTTTACAAAGCTTCTAAATACAAGGAGTTTGAGATTTGATATGTAGCATTATCACAGCAATCCCTTAATTTTTTTGTGTGGAATCGTGCCATGTCTATATAGTTTGAAATGTTCTTGTGCGCATAGTTGGTAAGGCCAAGCCGCTCATTTAAGTCTTTTCAGATTTAAGAAAACACTTTATAAATTTGGCTACTTTTTCCGCTCCCGAAGTAGATCTGGCACGGTTGCAGTGATAAGGGCTATTGGGTGCGCACGAACTTTAAAGTCTCCCTGATGAGAATACTTCTTGTACAGGGATGCTGCATGTGAGTACTCATTCTCGCCAATACAAGCGAGACGTGCTACTGCTGTTATCAATCCTTGCCTTCAAAGGCTGAACACCCGACAGCCATTTGGCCACCAGCCCATTGACGTTTGGTAATCACAATTGATATTTTTTTCACGCGGACCTAACTGTCCCGGATACAGATAATCGGATAACTCGGGCTTTGCCCCCACAGAAATTATAGATCTCCACGTATCAGTTGTGGGATCGAATACAAGTGCGACCACGTGCACCTTGCTCGGAAATCACTTCGAGTCAAATTGATGGCGTATTCATACGCACCGAGCTTAGGCTTGTATGCTCCACCCATGAGCGGAAGCGAGAGCTTCTCTGGCAGTCTGCTCATCTTGTTCAAGATTCATGCTATTGATCCTATTATATGTAGTACTAATCTTTAGGTTATGCTACTGCTTTTCGATTTAGTGCTTATCACTTTTTACTGATGAATTTTGATACATTCTTTTTATGATTTTTTGTAGCTGCTAATTTGGGAGAAATGACAACTGGAGCTGTAGTGAGCTGACCCTAGTCGATTCCTTAAAATATTTCACTCGACTAAGAAATATTCCCCGTCGTTTGTGAAACTGCCAATCCGGCTATTTGTCACGACCCATTCTTTCAGGGTAGACTAAAGATCCTTCTCCTATCAAACAACTTGTGCGACCTAATCGTATAGTTAGCGCTGTATCGCTTTCGTAAATGAAGATGATCAATCATATAAAGCTATAGCTGCGATACGTCGGGGCAATCTCCTGAAGTTTAAATACAGCTATGCTGAGCGTTCTAGGCTGACTTTACAATTTTTTGATCAGTAGAGATGAAGGTTACATCACTCAGATCCTGGGCTTCTTATATGTTAAACGACAGTCGGCTGTCACTTAATGATCAGGTGGAACAAGTAGATTTTAAGTCGTCTCTGATCGACGATTATGTATAGCATTTCAGTCACCGCCTTTTGTATATTTGGCACGGCCAAGGCTAAACACCAAGCCCGGCTTGAGCTGCTGCTTTGACAAGGTTTGCTCGACTGTTACATTACTAAATAATCCCAAGACTTCAAAGTTTGAGTCGCATTTTCTACCGGTAGTACCGGGATGGTATCCACTTATGGCAGCAACCAAAGTGACGGGCGCGTCAGATGCGCTGAGTTCAGCACCATGAAAAAAGCAGCAGAGACTTGTCGATACTCAGCGCAGATCTAGAGCTAGCACAGTTATTCTGTGTATTATCAACATGACTGGAAAAGACTGTCTGAGAGTTAGATAAAAACATCTGCAAAGAAGATCTCCATATCAGCAAAGCTAGACAAAGATGACAATATTGTGCTGTCGCACTTCTAGGAGATGATAGAAATGTATAGATAGCAACAAAGAAAGATAACCCATTTTTGCTTGAAGAAATGGGTTATCTTTCCTTGTAAGCCACGCGAGGATTCAAGACATGCCATAGCAAAAATTTGATGGTAAAATTGATTCAACATCGAAATAAAGAAGACGAGCCCAACTGCGGAGCACAGGATCTCAACCAGTGCGCTTTAGCACTAGAGCCGGAATTCCATTTAGCTCGATCGTAAGCAATGGTGAAAGCGAGAAAAAGCGCAAACCCGTGCCTGCTAACGTCCACGAAGTAAAGTTTGAATGTCTTGCAGAAGACACGCCTGTGTGATGAAGCAGTTTCCTCTCATAACGTCGTCCTGGCTCAAACAAATTAAGGCAGTACGCACAAACCAGATACGAAGTACAAGCGCCTATGCCAAAATCTTTATACTATTTTTCTTGAGTGAGAGAGACTTTATCTCGGCGAGAATGGAGGTGCAAGAACGACAGGCGTCGCCGCATCTTACTGAGATCGCACAAATTGAGGCCGTTTCTTAGGAGCGACCGTTAGTGATTGCACTGCTTCGGAAGGTTGAGCCTCAGATACAGTGTTGGGGCTAGGCATAATTCAGACTGGAGTCTTTAGTGTGTACAATACCGCAAATTGATATGTCTGATTACTTCTTACTCGTTTCATACCAGTTTGTATTATAATCCCGATTTTGCATGTCGGTGGTGTTCCTCTCATATAGAGTTTCACTTTGTAAGGATGCAAGTAAGCCTATTTATTTAAACGAAGAATGCAAACAGGTTCCAAAGGCATCGACGCTGGCCATATAGTTTTTGGCATATGTTATTGCCCGACCAGTGCTTTGGTAGCGACTACAGCTTGCCTAGCCAAATATGACAGCAGCCGCCCAACCATCATATCCGATTTGAACCATCCGAAGGCAACACATGCTTTTTCATTCATAAGTTTACAGCTTATCGGCGACTTATCAATTGGCTCAGACAGCTGAAGGCAAATCAGTCTTAAGATTGAACAGGTTGTACCTATATTCTTAATGTAATCAGAGCATCCGGTCACATGGCAAATCACACAACCAAATTTGCTAGAGAAATATTTTAAGGCATGAAAGGTCAGCCACAGAGCCTTTGCACCTGGATACAATTTGACCAGTCGAGAGCTATACCGTACATCTCTTGCTTCGACCACAAGGGTTCAAACATGAGATGAGGAACCCCAGTAAGCCATTTCACAATTCAATTTACTCGAGAGCTAAAAGCTACACCCACTTCTGTCGATGAATATCCGTCTGATCACTTTTATTGTAGCTCTAACAAGCCTATCTATCCAGTCAAAAGTTGAACGATCTTTAGAATGTCCATTTGGCTATGATCAGGTCGATCATGTCAAAGTAAGCGAACGTCAAATTTCCAGTATGTCGGATAAACTGAATTACTCCAAAGAAGTCAACTACAGTCTCGTGAAGTCGGATCTGATAAAGTTGATGACCGACACGCAGGATTTCTGGCCTGCTGACTTTGGTCACTACGGTGGTCTATTCATTCGCCTGGCATGGCACTGCAGCGGCTCGTACCGTCGTGCTGATGGCCGTGGTGGCTGTGATGGTGGCCGTATTCGCTTTAATCCCGAGCGTAGCTGGAATGATAACACGAACCTGGATAAGGCATTGAGATTGCTGGAACCTATCAAGACCAAATACGGCGACACACTATCGTGGGGTGATTTAATCGTACTGTCGGGTGACGTTGCTATTCAAAGTATGGGAGGTCCTGTGCTGGGCTTCTGTGGTGGCCGTCGAGACGACGTTGATGGCACAAATAGTCTTGAGCTGGGTCCGACACCTGAGCAGCAGAGTGTGGCACCGTGCACAAAGGAGAATCAGTGTCAGAATCCTCTGGGTTCAACGACAATAGGATCCATCTACGTGAATCCTGAAGGCCCGATGGGCAACTCAGACCCGGTCGGCTCAGCCGCGGAAGTCCGCGACACGTTTGCACGCATGGGAATGAACGATCGCGAGACAGTTGCTCTAATAGGTGGAGGTCATGCATTCGGCAAAACTCACGGTGCCTGTTTGACAGGTCCCGGTCCGTCTCCCTTAGAAGACCCCG